AATTCCATAGTTTCTTTCATTGCTTTCTCTTTACCTTGATTAATGAGTGACTCTTTAGTCTGTTCATCTATATCATTCTTAGATTTTGTTCTAATTTGTTCAGTCATAGTTTGAAACTTTTCAAGTTCTGAAAGTATCATATTAAATTCTACATCATCAATATATTGATCTGATGTAGCTTTAGAAATAAGACTACTTATTGTATTTAGTTTTGCATCAGCTAGTACTTTAATCTTTTCATGCTTTTCTGCTTTTATTGTTAATTTTTTAATAGCTTGTGATCCTATTAATGATAATACACCCATACCTAATGCTGCACCTTCACATGCAATAGCTACTGGTGTACCAACTATTGTTGTTAAAAAACCAATACCAACAGCTCCAAGTGTCATAGTGCTTGCTAGTAATGTATTATCAACTGCTGAAATGATTCTTACAGCTCTGTGATATTTTTTACTTAAAATCTCTCTTCTAATTCTTTCACATTCTATTTTATCTTGAATTTCACTAATCTTTTGTAATCTAAAGTTATGATCTATAGATTGCGGTGGTGCAGATGGATTTTCTGAAAACTGGTTTAGATCTGGATAAAGCTGCTTTCATTCATTATTATATCCATTATTACATAGCATTTTCTTTTTTCTATAAAGAAAAATTTGTTTTAAATCACTTTTGTGATCAATGCTTCGCTAAATCACTTTTTACCAAAATTAAATATATCTTCATCAGATTTATCTATACTAGGTTTATCTTTAATTACTTCTTCTATACTTGATAATAAAGATTTTACAGATTCTTTATCACTTTTCTGTTTAGTTCCTGAGTCATTTTGTTGTCTAAGTTGTTCTTCTTTAACATGTTCTAAAGCATCTCTATGTGATATATAATTTGCATTTAAAACACCATTATAAGTTGATATACAACATAACAAATCTCCTTTTTTTATGTTTATATCTTTTTTATCGTTATTATATACAGTTATTTTAATATCGTCAGTAGACTCTGTTACAATAGAATTTAGTAAATTTAGTTCTGGTTTATAATTTTCTGCAATTGAAATCACTATATGTCCTTTATCTATTTCAACACCACACATTAAAGAAATGTTATTATATGAATTTGATTTTACTGTAAAATCTTCTTGTGCGAATACTTTAATATGTCTATCATTTATTGCTCTATGTTCTAAATCTGAATTAATATTAAAAGTTATTCTATATTGTTCATGCTTTTCATAATATAAAAACATTCTACTATTATACATTTTATAAATGTAAAGATTTTTTTAAATCACTCTGTAATCCTCATATCTATTTTGTTTTTAAAGTTCTAGCAATATAATTTAAAATGCTTTCACCTTGATGTAAAAAATTACACTTTTTATCATTAACATTTTTATATATTAATATTTTTTCTCCTTTTTTATTTTTCTTTAATTTACTCTCTACTAATTTACATGGAGTATAATGACAAATTTCTGCATTTTCTTCAATTTCTTTAAAAGAATGAGCATATTTGCAATTTATATTTTTACATTCTTTTTTATCAAGAATATATTTACATAATTTAGTCTTTGCTTTTCTTAATTTAAATAATTCTGACTTTTTTGGATGAAACAATCTACACTTTTTATTCTTACATTTAGGGTATTCAGAACATAGAGATAAATGTCTATATTGACATGAAGATTTAGTGCATATTAGTCTTTCCTTTACAGTATTACAATAAGGAATATCATGATTGTATTTACATTTTCTTCCAAAAGGACAATAATTATCTTTTAAAATATTTTTACAGAAAATAGGTAGTTTTTCTACAAAATGAATTGTTGAAGGTTTTCCATCTTCAGTAAAATTAATATCTACATTAAATGGTTTTTCAAAACTAAATTTTCTGTTTTTGTAATGTTTTTTAAAAGAAGTATTATCTATAGCAGGATAATCATCATTAATAACATTATAAGTTGGAACATAATTAATCCATTTCAGCTTATCTTTATGCAGTTCCATGATTTGAACTGTTTTTAAAGGAATTGGAACTATAGGTTTTTCTTTAACTTCATCTTCTTCATCAGATGTAAAATAAGTAGCTTCATCAGATGTATAATAAGTGTCATCTTCAGAATCTGATTCTTCAAATTCAAATTTTAATATTTCTTCAAAAAGTTTAAATTCTTTTTGAAATTCAGATATTTCATTAATTTCATCATCATTCATTTTTTATTTTTTATTATTTGTAAAAATATTTTAAATCAAAAAAAATTGAAAATGAATTAAATAATTTTCTTTTATATATAAAAAGAATGGAAAACGAAATGCAAAATTCATTTTTAAAATCAATAGAACAAAGATTAAGATTAATAGAAGAAAAATTAAATATTATTGATATTCATGATATTGAAATGACTGAAGATTCTGAAGTTACTACAGTTACTACTACAGTTACTACTGAAGTTACTGAAATTACAGAAACTACTGAATATGATAATGATATTGAAATGACTGAAGAAGATGATGAAGATAATGAAGATGAAGAAGATGATGAAGATGATGAAATATTAAAATATTTACATGAATTAGGGTATATAGGTATAGAAGATGCTTTTGAAAATGCTGATAAAAATGAGCATCTTGAAATATTAAAATATTTACATGAATTAGGGTATAAATGTTCAGATTATTATTTTAATATAGCTTTTGAAAATGCTGCTAAAAATGGATATCTTGAAATATTAAAATATTTACATGAATTAGGATATAAATGTTCAGATTATGAATTTAATATAGCTTTTGAAAATGCTGCTAAAAATGGATATCTTGAAATATTAAAATATTTACATGAATTAGGGTATAAATGTTCAGATTATTATTTTAATATAGCTTTTGAAAATGCTGCTAAAAATGGATATCTTGAAATATTAAAATATTTACATGAATTAGGGTATAAAGCTTCAAAATATGAATTTAATTGTGTTGTTAAAAGCGGAAATCTTGAAGTAATTAAATACTTGTATGAATTAGGGTATAAAGGTACAGAAAATACATTTGATTCTGCTATTGAAAGCGGAAATCTTGAAGTAATTAAATATTTTCATGAATTGAGGTATAATGGTACGGAGTATGCATTTAATTGTGCTTTTGAAAAAGCTGCAGAAAATGGAAATCTTGAAATGTTAAAATATTTACATTCTATTGGATATAAAGCAACAGAATGGGAAATTACTCGTGCTGCAGAAAAAAATGGCCATCTTGAAGTAGTAAAATATTTACGTTCTATTGGATATACAAAGTGACTATAAATTCTAGTAGTGATAAAGTTAAGCAATGCTTCACTACTACGCATAAGCGCATTAAAAAATAAAAAAAATGAAAAATAAGTTAAATAATTTTCTTATATAAAAAAGAATGGAAGACGAAGAAAAAAAAAAAATGTTATTAAAATATTAAAAGCAATTAATCACGCTATAGAAAATGGTAACCTTGAACAAGTAAAATATTTGCATAAATTAAAGTATTATTATGAAGAATTAGCAATTAATTATGCTACTGAAAATTATGACTTTGAATTAGAGCAACAATTATATAAATTTAAGTATAAATATGAAAAATGTGCAATTAGTTCTGCTACTATAAACGGTCACTTTGAAGTAGTAAAATATTTACTTGAAATTGGATATAAAGTTGATAAATTAGCAATTAGTTATGCTGCTATAAATAACCACTTTGAAATATTAAAATATTTACATGAATTAGGGTATGAATGTTACGATTGGACAATTGATGATGTTGCTAAAAATGGTCACCTTGAAATATTAAAATATTTACATGAATTAGGATATAAAGGTACAGAAGATGCAATAGATAAAGCTGCTCAAAATGGTCACCTTGAAATGTTAAAATATTTACATGAATTAGGGTATAAAGGAACAAAAGATGCAATAGATAAAGCTGCTGAAAATGGTTATCTTGAAATATTAAAATATTTGTATGAATTTGGGTATAAATGTGACAAATGTGTATTTTATTCTGCTGCAGAAAATGGTCACCTTGAAATGTTAAAATATTTATATGAATTAGGGTATAAATGTGACAAATGGACAATTTATATTGCAAAAGAAAATGGTCACCTTGAAGTAATTAAATATTTACATGAATTAGGGTATAAATAAGAAGCAAGAAAGTCACGTGACGTCATGCAAGAATTTTTTGTCATATTTCATAACAAGAAATAAAAATTAACACTTATTTTAAAAAATCAATTTTTTAAAATAAAAAATTATTTCTTGTTGAAATAATTTATACACAATATGGTTCAATGTTAACCCAATATTAATATTAATTTATGGTTGAAAATTTGGTTGAAAATGAAAATGAGCAAATACCGGGCAATCTCTTACTACTGATGCCAACAGGCAATAAAGCTGTTTAATTGGGAAATCGCAGCCGTTGATTTTTTTATTAATAACTGCAGCGTAAACTTTAAAAATTTAATTGAAACACTTTCCAATATAAAATTTTTTTTATAATTTATGAAAATATTAAAACAAGTGTTTGAACAAAATGTCGCAAAATAAAATTATTACGAAATCAAAAGTTATTTTCAGCGACTATGTCTTCATTATTATTTTCATAATGTTCAATTAGATTGTCATCTAAGTCCACACCATTTAACTTTATTGCAAAGTTTTGCAATACAGCACACGCAGCAATTAAAGTGCAGGTTACTTTTCGAACCTCTTTATGAAGCAAATGAAACCGTCTTTTCCACCTTCCAAACACTTGTTAAATTAAAACTCTTGTTCTTCTTAAAGATATATTATATCGACGCTGAGCTGCTGTAGTTGGGCTTTGAGACGGTGTAAGTAACCAAAACAACATGGATATCGGGAACCGCGCAGTAAGTTTACTTTCGACTATAATCTCGGTGTAAAATTAAAAATACGCTTTCTTTTACGTAGTTGCATGTTCTTGTTATACTCCGATACACATGAAATAATCATGTCTAGATTATGAAAAAGCATGTTTCTTTGATAATTTTGTTTATTATTTGACCGGAAAGTCAAACTATTGATACCAATAGTTTGACTTTCCGGTCAAATAATAAACGAAATAAATAATATCACGAAAATAAGTTTTATAATGTAGCACTAAAAATGATGTAAATGCAAAAAGTCAGGTCACGTGTTATTTTATGTGTATGTTATTTCATGTGTCACGTGTTATTTTATGTGTATTTGGTGTGTTATTGCGCAAGCATGTCACATGTTATTTTATGTGTTCTTGTTTTTATTCGTAATTTTTGTATATGTTCAATAAATTACTGAAATTATTAAATTAATTTAAAAATTGTCATGTAAAATGTGTTGTTTGTTTTGTATACTTTTTGTCTTTGTGTCTTATGTTATGTTTACTTTTTGTCTTTGTCATGTGTTCCTTGTGTTCTGCACCTGTATGATGTTTTTTCATCCATCAAAAATGTGTCATACTTGCTGGGAACAATTTATTGTTAACAGAACGTTTAAAACGTTTCAATGATAAAATTAATTTAAAAAGAGTAATTTATACTAAACTTTTAGGTGTTGTTGTGGATGAAAATATTTCATGGAAAAACCACATTGGAAATAAAAACAATAAAATATGCAAAAAAGGATTCTATATAAAACAAGAACCATTTTGAATAGACATACTTTAATTCAACTATATTACTCATTAATTCACTGCCATTTTAACTATGCTAATACTGCATGGGGTTTGCTTTGTCAACAGAAGCATGTAACACGTGCTACATGCTTCTGTTGACAAAGCCTTTGCATTGTCAAAAGATGCATGTAGAACAAATTATTAATTTTAAAGAACGTTTTACTCATGCTAGGCTTTTCTTAATAAACATGAATATTCTTAATATTTTTGAAGCAAATATATTTAACGTTCTTTGTTTTATTTTTAAATGCAAAATTTAGAAATAAAAAAAAAATTTAATTTTTAATGCTTGTTCTGTTTCTTTTCATAAGTCAATGAAAGAAAAATGTATATATATTAAGAAATAATAAACATATCCAACAACCAATTTTTTAATCAAATATAAGCAAATCTTGCATTTAATTCCGTGGAGCCTTTTTATGGAACAAAATAGTTTTAGAACATTTTGATTTTTCGCATAATTAGAATTATTTTTTTTTTTTAAAGAAAACTAAAAGAAGTAATTTTTTTAATTGATAACGTATTTTTATATTTTTAATTTATTACCTATTCTACAAAATAATAATAGAATTGTAATCTGAACGACAATGTTTTTTAGATTACATATTATATTTTAGATATTGACATTATATACTGATGAAAACTGATGATATTTTTTGAGAAATTACTTGCTTTTTTTGTTTGTTTGTTTTTGCATGATATTAAATATTGAGAATGATTGTATATATATATATTCACATGTATCATAAAATATTGTTAAAATTTGCTTAACATCTAAAGAGTATTATAATATATAAACGCATTTAAAAATTGTTTTTAATATTTGTAAATTTATTTATGTATTTTAAATCTTAATATAGACTGTAAAGGGCTTCATGATAAGATCGATTGATCTTCTGGAAGTCCTACGAGTAATATATTCAGAGTAATTTTACCTTGTACATATATTATTCTAGAAAAAAGTATAACAAAAAAAACAAAAAAAAAACTAAATATGTAATTTTTTTTTTAAGCAATGAGAATTAAATAACAAACTCTATAATGTTACTTTTTCAAGTGAGACATTAGTATGAAAAGTCTCTACAAAACAGTCACAAAACCTTGTAACAGCTTGTAAACAACATAGTTGCTGTATGTATTTTGAGCAACAAAGTTTGCTGTGATATGGTATTGTAATATATTCCGTCATATGGGTAATTGCCATACTGACTTACTCATAATAAATACAAGGTTTAAAATAAATCGAAAAACGAAAAAAACGTTTACAAAGATGTTCTTTATGAACTAAAGCAAAAAACTTCCTCATATATTAAAAACGAAAGTAAGAAGTAAAAGAAAAAACAAAAATTAAAATTCTATCGGAACTATTTAAGATAGTTCCGTATGTTAGCGATTAGTTTTAAAACATGTTTTGTCGTTAATTATTGTCACTTTCATAGCTCTTTTTCCTACGTTTATAAAGAATGGTTAAAGTTTTTCTTCTTTTTAAAAAAAAAAAAATAAGATCTGTTTTACAAAATAATTCCTTATGACATTTATAGTAATAATTAAGGAAAAGCTCTGGGAGAAAAAAAAACAAATTAAAAAAAGAAACTAAATATTATAAAAAGAAAAAATTATTTAAAATAGTTATGAATATTAGTGACTAGGTTTGAAACTCCTTTTTTAAAAATGTTTCTTAATTCGTCTTTATATTTGTTTGTTCATTTTGATTAATTATTAATAACCTCTCGTTTTCAAGCAAGCGTTTAACTTTAAATTCAAACTTTTTAAGTAAAAAATTTACACTAAAACATTCTTTTTCAAAAAAACTTTTCATTCTATTAAAATATATTTCTAACACAAGAGTTTCCAATAAAGTATAGCTAACTCTTTGTTGCCCACGTTGGCCCCGTATTTAAACAAAATAAACTTTAAAGTATTTAAATGAGGATATACCGCTGGATAAAATTGATCCAAAACATCTAATAAAAAACAAAATTAGAGGCTGCACCTTTTCGCATTTATACATCATATGATATATAGTTTCGTCTTCAGTTTTGCACTGCGGATATAATTTGTCATTTCTAAATTTTCTAAAAAGACTATTTTCATTAGTTGGTTATAGAAAATGCGCAATTTTAAAAAATATTTCATTTGCTTTATTGTTTATGTTTTTTTGTTATTATTTTGGAAAAAGATGTCCATTCGTTTTCACTGATCGTTTGCATACTTTGCATCCTTTAGATGCCCAGAGATTATACTTAAAAGCCGTCATTCTTTTCGGTTTGTTTTGAATTTTATAAAGTGTTGCGAATGTGAGTCTTTTGTACTCATATTTTTCTTTTTTCTTCAATATATAATAAGGCGCTTTTTTAAAATCATATTTTTGTCCTTCGTTTAATGTTTTATTTATCCAATTTTTTGTGAGTGCTGTTATATTAACATTCATTTCAATCTCAGTCAAACCAATTGATAAAGGATTTAAAAATCCAGGCTGAAAAGTTTTAGTTATGTCCGCTACAAGTAAAATATAATTTTTAATGTGCACCTTTTCTAGGGACTAAAACTTATTTTTATTCTTTTTAATGTTGTAATTAAAAAAAAAAAGGCTGACTAAGTGTTTCCTCTATTTCATTTACAGACACCCTGTTATCTTGCTTAATTTTACAAAAACTTAATAATAGTTATCTGTAAAAAGGCGGGAGTACCTTAACTTGGGTTGGAGTTATTTCAAAAATGAATTTATTTAGGTTTAATTTTCTATAAGAATTGAGCATGTGGATCATGGCTACTTTCCACGGGCCTTTTAAGTTTTCATTATGAACTTTTGAAACCCAATGCAATTGTATTGCTTTGAGTTTGCTTGTAAGGTTAACCACTCCAAGATCCCCATTTTTTATATTCTTTATGTGTTTTTTCCTTACTTAGACTTAGAACTTTATCCCCCCAGATAAAGTTGTTTATTTTAGCCTCCATTCTAAATAAAATGTTTTTATGGGTAATAGGAACAATAAATGCCAAGTGTACAATTTGAGGGATTACTATTGTATTAACTATTAGTTTTTTGCCTTTAAGGGATAATATATGTTTTTTCCATTTCTTTAGAGTGCTTTCCATTTTAATAAAGGGTCCTTTCCAATTCATTTTGTAAGTGAACTTTCCTGTGTTGCAATAAAAATGTATACCGAGGCTTTGAATGATTTTTTTGTCTCAGGTAAAGTCTAGAAACTGTTTCTTTTCTGCGAATCTATTTGTTCCCAACCATATGCTTTGACATTTTGCTAAATTAATTTTAGTACTTGTCGCTCTGTATTTAAGTTTAGGGCTTAGTTTGCTGTGATATGTATTAAGCCATAACACATCTTGTATCTGTTTGAAAGCCACAAAACTGGCTGTACTGATTTTCTAGCCATAAAACCTGTGGTACCTAATTTATAAGTCAAAAAACGTGCTCTACCCGAAATTTGTTTTGAGTAATATATATACAAATGAAAATGTATAAATTTATCAACAAAGTAGTCGTATAATAATTTTATGTTCATTGCACGTACAAAAGACCAAATATAAACCAAAATTGTTTGTTCGGACAGGACGGAACAAAATGTTTTTGTCAATATTAGGTTCAGATTGGATTTACTGACGTACTTTTAAAGTTAAACGTGCTACTAACATCCAAATTTGACCGCCTAATGTGCGTCCACATATGACATTAGAAACTACTTTGCACACTAGAATTTAGAATTGAAAGTACGAATTTGACTTTTCTGAAAACTTAGAGAAAAACGTTCATTTCAAAATACAAAGTGTCTACAAATTGTTCTAACTTAATTTTTTTGAGTCGGAAACGTAATACAAAATAGTTCTAACCTCTCGATTTTGCGCCAATATTTGTGCAATATAAGCACGCTCGAATTGGCTAAAAATATTCATGTCCAGAGATATTGGTGTGTTTATTCAGAAATATTTGTTAAGAGATATTTTGCCGAAAGAACACAGTTATTCCATTTTTAAAAACTTTATTTTTTCCTTGAGAAATACAATTCATTATTTTTTTCTCGATTGAGGGTTTATGCAAGAACATCGTATTTGATCTCTAAGTAACTGTGTTTTTTTTGTTTTTTTTTATTTGCATACACTCCCAACAAGGCTGCAAGCAACCGCTATTAAGTTTGGAGTTACTAGAAAAAAAAACGAACAGAGTAATAGAGCAAGGAAACGGTTGACAGAAGACTTGAAAAGTTGAAGATTGCATGAGTCAGGAAAACATGACGATGGAAAAGAGTTCCAAAGGAATAAAGTACGAGAAAAGAAACTAGATGAATAAAAGTTTGTAAAGCATGCAAGGACAGATAAGTAAACGAATGAGATTTAACTGAATGACGAGTTAAACGAGAAGGAGTTTTAGTTGATGGAACTAGAGATGATAACTCCTTTGAGGAGTGATCATAATAGTATTTTTAGAAAAAAGAAAGAGATGCAGCTTTACGACGATGGGAAAGAGGCTCAAGCTTAGCAGATAGTCCAGGTCGAACAACATTGACAATGCGTTTTCAAACCTTGTCAAGAAGAGAAAGCAAATCGTTAGAAGAACCAGCCCAAATTTGACAGCAGTAATCCATACAGTGACGAATAAGAGATTTGTAGAGATAGAGAATGGAATCAGAAGTAAGGAAACGGCGAGCACAATAAAGAGAAGCAACCTTAGCAGTAGCTAATTTAGCAATCGATTGTATATATGGTTTCCATGAAAGGTCAGCAGTATACGATAATTCAAGAAGACGTAAAGAGGAGGACTCAGTAAGAGGATTGCTATTCATTAATATATGAATGTTGACCATATGACGGAAGTTGTTTGCAGTAAACAACTGGGTTTTTTTAGAGTTGAAATTCAAAAGCCACTGTAAACCCCAATCTATTACTGTAGTGAGATCGGATTCAAGATCAGCTGCTTGTTCTAGGCGATCAATATGAGACGACTTTTTGTAAAGGCAGGAGTATAAAGTTGAGTCATCAGCAAAAAGAGCTACTTAGAATGAAAGGTTGTCAGGAATCTCTTTTATGTAGATAAGAAACAAAACAGGGCCCAGGATGGAACCTTGGGGAACCCCAGAAGTTACTGGAAAAAAAGAAGAGTGTTGGTCTTCAAGGATGTCTTTAATAAACCGGTTAGAAAGAAATGATTTGATAATCTCAAAAACTTTCCCGGAAACACCATATGAAGCAAGCTTATGGGGAAGACCAGCATGTCAAACTTTGTCGAATACTTTAGATATGTCGAGAGCAATAGCCCTAGTCCTCACTGCCTCCATCTAATACACGATAAAATCTTTCAGTTACAGCAGTTAGCAAGTCAGCCGTAGAGCGAGAGGATCAAAAACCGTATTGATTGTCTGACAGTAGTTTATTTGACTCAAGATGAGATGTGAGGAATTTGTTGATAAAAGACTCTAAGACATTGCTAATAACAGAAAGAAGACTGATCGGACGATAATTGGAGGGGTCAGAGTTTTCTTCAGAGTTTTCGAACCACAGATGTCATTTTGCAATAAGCAGGAAAACAAGACTCAGTCAAACACTTGTTAAATAGTTTAGAGAGAACTGAAGAAAGTTCTGGAAAACAAATCTGCAAGACTGTGACAGGAATGTTGTCTGGACCGCAAGCTGTAGACGAGTTAAATTAAGAAATGACTTTAGCAACAGAAGCAGGAGTGATTTGAATGTCTAACAATGGGTCAACCTGTTTGACTGGAATGGAAAGAAAAGAATGTCCATAAAATTCAATAGTGGAATAAGAAGAAAAGTTCTTTGCAAATAGTTTTTGATGTTTTGTTTTAACGGTATCGGCAGGAATGTTTTTAAGAACGTTTAGTAAATTGCAAATTGCGAAAAGTTAATATTTTGCATATACTTTGTTATTTTTCTATTAGCTTATATTTTGATGCATAAATCATCGAAATATACAGTAATTCTTTTAAAATACAACACTAAACAGAATGCAATGCGAAAGATGTATTTTGAAATAAAAAATACAAATTCATAACATCAAAAATTGCATACTACAAAAACAACAAATTTGAATAAAAAAATCAAGTCGTTGACATATATTAATAAATTAACCGAAACGCCTTTTTTCGTATAGCGTCCTTTTTCAATTCCTTTTTCCCATCTAAATAAAAAAAACAATGGAATAAAAAAGATGAAAACAAACATTTTAATATAAAACCGATGCAGCAGTCGTTTAAGCTTTCGTGTAAGAGCTTCAGGATTTTCCTAATAAAAAAGTGTTACACAAAAAAGTAGAAAACCTTTTTTTTTTTTATTTTTTTATTTTTTATAAAATAATATTTATTTACCATAATATAAAATATATTATCTCAGCTTGTTTTAAAAATTAAAGTTATACAATATATATTAGTTTAACAATAAGTTTTATTTATAAACGCTAACAAAAGTTAAAATAATGAAAGTTTAAAATAATAATTTTTTTTTTTTTTTTTTTTCAATTTTTATATATATATTTTTGTGTTTTCGATTTTATTTTATTTTTTTTGTTTTTCGATTTTATATTTATATTATATTGCGCGGAGAGTATTCGGAAGAATTGAGAAAGTTGAAAAAAAACATCACTAAACATATAGTTCTTTTACTGAGCAAGCATGTCAGTTTAGATTATATGTTTAGTTTCAGTCTTCCAATCTCTACTTGGCATATTATATTTTTAACACAAAAAAGTTGACAGAAAATGTCCGTAGTGTTTCTACGGACATAATAATTATATTTTAAAGTAATAATATACCTGATTTTCTTTATTATTACCCTGATCACTGCCATTGGTCGATTCTCATGTTATTAAACATGTGGTGGCATCTGCTATTTCATATCTCCTACATGATGATTTGAGTGAGTGTCAACAGCAGTTGCGAAGTAGGGTTTTTTTCCGATAAATTCGCGGTTCCGATAGAGAAAATCGAATTTATTAGAGAAAAAAAATTTGGGGACGTCAAGGAGTTATATACATGTTTAAAATATTCCTAAATTTCAACAGAGGGAGGACAGTAGGCAAAGATGTGAAGGTTGTCCTCGATTTTATCACAAGTTTTACATTTGTTGTTTTTGACAATCTGTTGCCTTCTGCTTTTGGCTAGCAAGACCGCAGAAGGTAGGCTGTTGTGCAAAAATCGAAAGAGGATGTTTTAAGTCGGTCCGCATGCGGGGGAGGTAAAGTTCTTTTTCCGAATTTGGGTCCACGGTATTGTTGTTTTTGTTGAACCGTTTCAGAAAAGTTTTGCTGGTACGACTGTCTTTTTGTTTTTTGCCACTTCTAAGGAAAATTTTTTTGTTGATTTTAGGGGAATGTTAAAAAGGGACCCGTTTTTGCTTAAAATTTCAATAGTGGTTTTGTAGTACTGAGACATTTTGTTGTCCCAGTGTTTTGGAAAATTGTTCTGTTTCAAAAAATTCCAGCTTGGGTTTTGGTTTGTAAATTTAATAAGTGAGCTTGCTAACCAGTACTTTGAAAAGTAGTAATTATCTTGAGTTTTATCCTCTCCGCATTCGTTCAGTTGATAGAGTGTTTTGAGGCGGAGCGCAAGGCTTTGCTCCTTCGGTGATAAAATTCCGAGACCACCGCTTTTGACGGGTAGGAAAAGCGTCTCTCTTTTGACCGGATTGAAATTGGTCTTTTGCCACAGATTTTCGAAAATGGCACTGTGCAAACGTTCTATTACACATTCGGGAACGGGCAACACGTTTGCCAGTAACCACACTTTTGACAATGCTAACGTATTTATCAACGTAGTCTTTTCCCTAAGTGACAAAGTACGTAGTCCCAGAAACTTGAGTTTTTTCTCTATTTTGTTTAGAGTTACAAGCCAGTTGAAATTGGTAGTATTACTCAGTCTGGTGTAAAAAGTAACACCTAAAATTTTGAAACCGGTGTTATTAGTCCACTCTATGTCGTCCCATTCCGGGTACTTTTTGGGATCAAAACCCTCAAGAGCAAGACCCTTGGTTTTTGAGGCATTGATCACTGAACTACTTGCTTTTTCAAACATTTTTACTTTTTCGAAAAAAAAGCGGACTGATTTTACGTCCCTGGCAAAAAAGTTCGAATCGTCTGCGTACTGCTGTATTTTAAGGGGTGTCGGTGTTCCTGGTAATGGGAATCCCTCGATTCTGCTGTCTGCTCTGATCACCAAAGCGAGAGTTCAGCGACAAAGACATACAACAAAAGAGAGAGAGGGTCGCCTGGTCTGACTCCCCTTTCGGTAAGGAATGGGGCTGACAAGAAACCGCAACTCAGAATAGATGCCGAAATTTCTGAATATAGGGTGTTTATAAAGGATATAAAGTTTTCTCAGAGATTAAATTTTTGGAGAATCTGCAGCAGAAACGCACAATCAACTTTGTCAAACGCCTTTTCTTGATCTATTGACTAAAAAATGAAACTAGGTAGTTTTTTAAATTCCGCGTAATCTATTAGATCACGGACTAAATGTAAATTTGAGAAAACTGTTCTACCTGGAATTCCTCAAGTTTGATTTGGTTCTATAATTTTCCCCATTACTTTTGCAAGTCTTAGGGCCAGAGCTTTTGTGATTATTTTGTAATCAGCGCCGATTAAGGATAAGGGCCTCCAATTTTTACATTCAGTGAGATCTCCTTGCTTGGGAATTAGTGAAATTATTGATTTTTTCATAGAGTGGCTGTTATTTTTTTCTACGAAAAGTATTTTGTAAGCAAGCTCTTCAAAATCTTTTTCTTAAATATGCCAAAAAGTTTTATAAAATTCAGCTGGAAGTCCGTCATAGCCTGGAGATTTTCCGTTTTTAAATTTAAAAAGGGCTTCTTTTAACTCCGCGCTGGTTAGGCGGGTGTTTAAAAATTGGTTTTCATCATCACTCAAATGTTTATTGATGTGTGACAAGACATAGTTTTGGCTGTCTTTGCATAAATTTGTTTTGGTGTAAATGTTTTTGTAATATGAAACGAGGGAGTTTAATATCTCATCAGGTTCACTCGTCAATGTGCCGTCGTTCTTGCGAATTTCGGTAATTGACTTGTTCCGCTGATGACTTTTTTCCAAATTGTACAAAAATTTTGAAGGTTTTTCTCCTTCTTGGATTAGTTTTTGTTTTGTGCGAATAAACGCTCCTGGGAACTGGAGCAGGAAAAGAGCATCGCGTTTTTCTTTGATGCTATCTAAATTCGGGTTAGCGTTTTGTCGCTCCCGTTGAATTTCGTTTTCAATCCTTTTGATTTGTTTTTTGTTTTTCGCACTTTCCTGAATAGATATATGTTGTAATTCTACCCTAACAAAAAGTTTGCAGTCGTCCCACCATTTTAAAATTGAGTTGTAGGACCGTTTTTTAGTTTGCCAATCTTTAATTGAGAGTTCAATTTTTTGCCTATACACTTCTATTTCCAAAAGCGAACAGTTTAATTTCCAGTATTCTGGTCCTCTCCTGGTTTTACTGAAATTGACGGTTGTTGTTACGAACTCGTGGTCGGAGAAAGGGTTGGTGAGATTTTTTGTATATGTTGTTTTTTTTGCGATTTTTTCAGGGCAGTAGATTCGATCGAGTCTACATTTTCCCTTCTGATTTCGCCATGTGAATTCTCTTTTGTTTGGGAATTTTAAACGGCAAACATCAACCAGGTTATACTTACCTTCGAATACCCCGAGTTTGCCCACGCCGTAGGTGTAATATTTAACGTTGTTGGTGCCTTCTGTGTCGAGAGGCAGGCTTTCGACCATGTTAAAATCTCCGGCCATCAGGACGGGAAGTCCTGTGTCCTGCGAGAAATCAACAAGGTCGCCAAAGAAATGGCGCCTTTCTCTTGGCACATTAGGAGCGTAAAGATTCAGCACCTGCATTTCGTGTTCGTCAAAATTTTTTATGACATCTAATATTCTTCCGTTTGTGTCCTTTTAAGTTCGCTTAAAGAAATGTTGGATTTCGAATGAACCGCCACCCGGCAACTGTTATGATTCCCACCGGAGTTCCAAAAGGACTCGCCAGTCCATTCGTCTCCCCACTGTTTAACAGTGGAAGGTGCAGAGTGTGTTTCCTGTAGGAGGATGAGATCAAAAGAGGATTTTTTTAGAAACCCAAAGAAATTTTCGCGTCTTTCGCGTTTATGTTGCACGTTAAAACATTAAGTGTCACGATGGAGAGAATCAGTTTTCCTAATTTGAAAACTCGTGTAACTTAAACATAAATATGATAATTTTACAACCTGATATAAAAAACACGTACATATAAGACTTTAACTTAAAGCACAAGTTTTCGATTTAAATGACGTATTACGAACAGATGGACGCACTGGACCATAACATTTCACACAAAAGCGCGAACTACAACAATACAGATTACGACAGCTTAAGCGCTTATACAAAATTTTCACATGCATTTTTAAAGAATAGAACTAAAAAGATCAAAAAAGAAAAATTTAAAAAAATAGAATAGAACGTAAAAGACTTGAAAAAGTTTTATAGATTTTAGAACAGAAAAGAAAAGATTTAGAGTTTAGAAAAGAGGAAAGTAATTTGAGAGATAAATAAAAAGATAAAAATAAAAAGGAAATCTTACGACATTTTCTCTGCACAATTTAAAATCTCGTCAACGTCAAAATTAAAATTTAAATCTTGATCGTCTTCTATAACCGGGTCAGTATCCATTTTTTCTTTTTCCGACAGCTTTACGGTATTTATGTCTTCAGTATCTGTTTCGCTTTACACTTCACTGCTTCTTTTTTTAATTTTAAAAGAGTACTCTGATTTGTTCTTTGTTCTCTTCCTGCTCGATATATTTGTTTCTTTGGGAGACTCTCTTGGTTTCTTCTCAGTATCATTTATAATTTCGTTACCATCCACGTTATTCTCCACAATTTCGATTTGAGTACTTGGCGACGGTTGTTCTTTGTTTAAAGCTGTGCTTGTTTCA